ACCAAGCAGCTGCTGCACTGCATGGCCTGTTTCCAGCTGCTGCAGTTCAAGGGCTCCATGCTGGCACTGGCCATCGTCAGCCTGGAGCTGGAGAAGCTGCTCCCCGACTGGCTGGCTCTCATCATCGAGCTGCTCCAGAAAGCACAGGTGAGGGGCGGGGAGGGACTGCGGACACATCCTGCTCAGTGCTCCCGCCAGCCAGGGCTTTGGGATCCCTGGCTGCCAATGGCTGCCTGCTGGTACGCTTGTGTGGGGATGGCTGGGCTTCTGCCTGGAGGAACAGTGCTCCATCCTGACCACATCCAGTGGGTGACAGAGGTGGGAGCCGTGTGCCCTCATGTACACAGAGTCCTGCTGCACCAGGGAGAAAATAACACACCAGCGCAAAATTCCTAGTCAGTGGTTCAGGCATTCATTCCCAGCATACTGACAAGTATTGGAAAGGCTCTGGCAGTGAAACCCTTTAGTATCTTTTAAGCTTTTTCCTCACCACTATTCCCATGAGGTGTAAGAAGGAGCAGGGGCCTGTATCCCAGAAGGTCATCATGGTAGGGGTGCTGTATCATGTCCTCCTCCTGCATGGCTGGGTGGTGCTGTTGGAGCCCATGCTCTCTCCTCACCATGGTGGCGATCCCACAAGGCCGGTACCTTTGCTTGTCTTCCCCCTCCAGATGGACAGCTCGCAGCTGATCCACTGCCGGGAGCTCGTGGCACATCACCTTTCCACTGTGCAGCCTTCTCTGCTGCCCAACTCTGTATATGTCTACAGTCCCCTCCAGCAGACCCTGGTGACCTGTAACAGAGGAGCGTTCCACCGCCAGCCCTCCTCTGTCCCAGGGCCGGGTCTCTCCAAGGACAACGGCCGGCCAGAAGCGCCAGTCACAGGTACAGCCGCGCTCTACCAGCGCCGTCCCGCCCCCGCCGGCGGCTGCAAACAGGCCTCCGCCAAGCGCAAGGTGGAAGAGATGGAAGTGGACGACTTCTACGACGGGATCAAGCGTCTCTACAACGAGGACCTCGCCCCGGAGGTCGTGGCCCTGGAGAACATGGGCTCTGTTTGCGGCGCCGACGTCTCGCGGCAGGAGGGCAGCGTGTCCCCTTGCCCGCCCCTGCAGCCGGTGTCTGTCATGTAGCTGCGAGTGCCACCACCCGCTCCAGGAGCCCCGCCGGACCCGGCAGCCCGTGTCCTCAGTGGGGGGAGAAAGGGCCATACCTTGTCAGGCTGAACTGAAGGGAGCCAAAAAAAAACCCAAAAACAAACAAAAAAACCCCAGGAAAAAAAAATCCCAACCCTTTTTGAATTTTATTTCTTGTGCGGCTAATTATAGTTCCACTATTTAAGCACTTAAAAACACAAAAAAGTATAAAAATCTAAAAAAAGACCCAAAAACCAACCAAAAAAAAAAAGTAGCAAAAACCTGTTCCTTTCTAGTGTTGTCAGTTCCACTGTTTTTCTGCTCCTGTGTGTTGTAACCCATTCTCCACATCTGAGAGCTCACATCAACCCTGCAGAGCTGTTCCAGGTTTCCCAGCCAACTAACACCTCTCTGATCCCATTCCGACCTGCTCCTCACTCCCCTTCTGCTTGCTCTTTTTAATTCTCAGCCAGTCTTGTGCTTGACGTTCTGTCCTGCCCCACAGCTTTTTCTTTTGCCCTTCTAACAAAAAAACCTCTTTTCTTTTGTTAATACTTGGGTGTTTAAATGTGATAATACTGCAAAACTGGATTTAAACAAAAGGTTTTAAACAAAACCCCAAACCGGTTCTCGCAAGCTGCCCCACACTTCAGTAATGCCCACAGGAGTGTGAAGGTGCGCTGGAAGAACCCAGGGGCAGCTGGCCCTGGTGCTCTGCCTCACACAGAGGCTTCTCCAGTTACACCGGTTTGCTTCTCCCAACACAGAAAGCAGTTACTGCATTTTCTAGCACTAGAACCAAAACGGTATTTTTTTCTTGTTTGCACCGAGAAATGTTGCACTCAGTGTAAATTTTCACCAATGCTTTACGCTCTCCATGAAGTGTAAGCTTTGAATTGTGCAGAGCCTGGTTTTGCCCACACTTTTCCCAGCACCGCTGGGTGAGGTGCCGGGGCGGCTGTGGATGCCTGAGGTTTGGAATGTGTGTCCCTGTCAGTCACAAAACCAAAACGAAAGACCCTGATCCTCGAGTTTTGTGTTCATGTAACTTCTAACCAAGAGTCAGACCTTTAAACCTGTCTCGTCCCTGTGACACCCCGTTCTCAGAACGCCCTGTCCCGACTGTACGCTCTCTCCACAGCCCTGAGGAAGGTATCGTATCTGGAGCCATTGTACTGATGAAAGCCTTCTGGTAGCAATAAAGAAAGTTGTCCTGGATTCCCAGTCTGGTGTTGTGCTTTTCATCCGAGACCTGGATCAGTTTTACCCAGATGCTGCCAGGGAGTTGCTCTGTGCCAGACAGCTGACAAAGTGCCTTAAAGTGCCTTTGGAGGTGCTGGGCAGCCCCTGGGGTGCCAGGGGAGTCACCAACATGAACTCGTTGCCTCCAGTGGTTCTGGCTTTAGCCCAGCTCTGGTGCTCCTCACTCCTGGCTCTTCCCTTTCCAGGCCAAGTGCATGGTTGGAACACTGCTCCGTCTCCCCTCCTGGAGCCCATCCTGCCCTGCGCCTTCCAAGGTGCCATCCTCTTGTCATGCACAGACCACCACAAGAGCCTTCCCACAGGTTCCAGCTCTTCCTGCTTGTGTCCTGAAAAACCCCTCCCCAGGCCATATTTCTCAGAGGGGTGTGTGTCTTCCTTCCCTTCCAGCCCTTCCTGCCATCCTTATGCTATTTCCAGACCCTGACCTTCTCATCCAGTGGCTCGGTTTTCTCCAGCCAGGCTGCTGTGCAGTCCTCTGGGGGTGTCAGCAGCACAGCCCCAGCAAGGCACCCTGTCAGTGCAGGAGAGCCCCAGCTCCGGTGCTCTCTGCTTCCAGCTCACCGTGTGTTGCACACCTTTTCCAGTTAACTTACGCTGGCTTCTCTCCCTCCACGTGCTGCTTCCCTCCCAGGTTGAAGGGCACGTTCCCCCTTGCCCCACTGGCACATCAGCACACAGGCACTTGTGAGGATCACAGTCCAATCCCACCACAGGGTCACCGCCCAGAACCCTTCCCAGCCTCCCTGTGCTGCCCGGAGCCACACAAGCCACAGCACCGACTCGGCAAGCTCCCAGGAGGCAAAATCCTGCAGAGGCAGGACTCGGTCTCCCTCACTGCCAAGTGAGTGCTTTCCTGCTCCCAGCCCCAAACACAGGCACCCCCCAGCCCCAGTGAGTTGCAGAGAGACAGACACTTTATTTTGCTGGCACTATGCACAAACCCACGCCAATGATCTTGTGCCAGACAACTCCAAGAGAAAAGGCTCAGGCACAAACCCTGTCCCTGGTCTGTGTGACCCACCTCTGCAGTGTCCTGCTGTCCTGGCACAGGCCCTGAACACCTACGGGCAGCTCCCTGGCTGTGCTGCCTGCACTGGTATACACGTTTACAGTGCTCTGTGGCTAACGAGGTGACCTTCAGACACAGCCTTACCTTGGAAAATGAGTCATCCCAGCAAGAGCAGCTCCCCCATGTAGCAGGTCCAGCTGATTTGGAAACAACCCACATGGCCAGAGACAAAAGCCATTTCCCACTTCCCACATTTCCTCCCAAAAAAAAACCCCAGGCAACAACATCTCTTCCAAGCTGCCCCCCCATCACCTTCAGTAGCTGGCTTGTACGCAGCTCTCGCTGTCGGAACACAGGGCTGGCCTGGAGTGCTGCCAGGGCTTCCCGTTTCCCACAGGAAAACCTTCCCTGATGTGCCCTTGTCTCATGTTCCTGTGACCTTCCCACAAGCTTCACAGCATCCCAGTGCTCCCCACCACAGACCTGCCCAGGGTCTGCCTGCTCCAGCGAGGCCGGAAGCAGCGAGGGCAGGAGCCCAGCCCAGCACACTGGGCAGGTGAATGGTTGGCTGGAGAGGAAACCAATTCCCAGTTGCAGGCTCAGCTCCCTGTTGCCCCCTCTCCCTCATGAGCACTGGGATAACACCACTACATTCACAAACCCCAGCACATTACTGCTCAGTGCCCAAGCCCAGGGAGCTCCCCAGGGCACGGCAGGGACATCCCAGCAGAGCATTGCTGCTCCTTTCCAATGCCTTCAGCCATAAACCCTCCCTTGCTGCACTGTTCCCTGCAGCCCCCCGGCTTCCCTCAGCCCCCTGAGGGTTTGCTCTGAGGATGTGAGAGCACAGATCCCCTCCAGCAGCCACACGAAAGAGTTAAGCCCAAAGCATGATTTTTAACTCAGAAACTCACTCCCTCCAATGGAAGAAGTGGCTTTCCCAGCTCTGCTGGGGACACCTGGTGACAAATAACCTCTCTGGGCTGTCCTCAACAGGTTTCACGTTGCCATCCTCTCCCCACACTGGCACCTCTTCCCCAACAGCTGCAGCCACGGAGGCAGCGGCCCAAGGGCACATTGCCATCCCCTCCCCAGCCCCGGGGTGTGGGGAAACCTCCACCACCCTCTGCAGCTCAGTCTCACTGTGGACACCGGCAGGGCCTTCTGCTCCCTTCCCTCTGCCCCAGTATCCACCACCACTGGACTATGGCTGTCAGACATTTCACCTTGTTTTCCCTATGGATCCCTTCTCCCTGAGTTCGCCTTTAAAAAAAACCACCCCACCAATCAACCCCAAAACCTTCTGCTGACACCATCTGTCTCAACAACCTGAGGTAACAAATTCCACAAGTTTAGTACCTGCTCCTTAAAAGTTACTCCTCTGGTCTAGTTGTGACGATTTGCTGACTTAGCAGGTTGGCACCCAGCGCCATCATAACTTGGAGAGCTCTGCAACAAGAGTCACAAATAAATCTGGGCTGCAAGGGACCTCTAGAGGACATGTGCTGCCACCTCCTGCTCACAGCGGGGCTGATCCTCCCTCACACCTCTGCCTTTCCCTGGCCAAACTGAGCCATCTCACCTGGCAGCTGCTGCTCCATCCCATTTACCATTAGTGCCCTCCTCTAACTCCACTATGTCCTTCTGGAGACACGAAGTCCAGAGCTGCAAGCAGGACTCAAGGCACCAGCACAGCAAAACTCTTATAGAGCTGCAAAATAAAGGCAGTCTGTGTAAGTGTTGGTATTTGGTTTGTGCTTCTCTTCAGATTAAGCTTTAAAAAAAATTCCCATCTGGAGTTCAGAAGCCACCAGGGAAAAAAGGGTTTTACCCCTCTTCTAACCTTCTTGCCACAGCAGCACTACAGGTGGGTCACCCAGAGCTGAGCCCCTGCAGGGGATGAACCACCACCTCCCCCAGTCCAGCCCAGCACCTCCCAGGGGCAGAACAAATGCCCCAGAAACCATGGTCTTGAGAGCAACTTGCAGACTCCTACTCCCACATAAAGCCATCCTACAGTTTTTAAATATAACAAAAAAGTCCAAGGAATGAGAGAAACATAACAGCTGGAGAACTGCACAGCTTCCCAGATCTGGCCATCTCAAGGGAAGCGCTGGTGGCAGGAGAGCAGGTACCACCTGAGACCTCTGCAGGCTCTGGGTTTGGTACTAATGCAAATGCTGTCCCAAGCTACATTTGTGCAGATATTGATAGCCCTGCGCTCTGAGCAGTGGGCAGCAGGGCCAGTTACACACCAGGCAAATCAACACACCACACACACAAGGTCAAACACTTCACAACCTTTCTGACTGTATCTATAAAGTCACTTGGCCGGTTGCAAAGATTTCCAGGACGAGCAGTTTTCCTTCCACGCGGCTGGAGGGAGCCGACCCTCGTCACTGGAAAGTGCTGCAAAATATTGTGCTTCTGAAAAAAACCCCCAGCAGATTTCAGCAGAGCCTCCCAGCAGCCTGCACATCACACAGGGGAGAGGCCAAACCTAGACCATTTCCCGGTTAAAGGAGGGGAATTCCTTGATTAAGGTTCACAGATGCAAAGAGTCAGTCACTAGTATTCGGTTAAAAATAAAAGTGCATCACTCCACAGGAAAAAACATCCCAAGAAGCTCAGGCTGCCTCCTTCCCTCTCTGCCGAACCAGCTGGAGATCACTACACACCACGCTTACAGGCTTTGTTTTAACCTTCAACCAATCCTTTGGCACTTCTCAAGCTTTTTGACTGAATTCAATTTCAAATAAACAAGGTACAAAGTTTAACAACTTGCCCACATTCAGGACTGCTAAAAAAATAATTGCTAACTAGGCTTCATGAAAACAAAGCGAAGCCCTCGATCTAAGTACAAGTCAGTGCAGTTCGGCTGTACAAGAAAATCCTACTTTGCTACATCAGCCAGAAAATAAGGCCTTGGCTGTCCAGAACAGGCTCCATCAGCACCACAGGGTGCGGCATCCACCGTCCCCACTTCACACAGTGACATACAGAGAACATTCCCGGGTCCACAGACCGATTTCCAGGCGTGTCAGAGGAGCACAGGATGGCCCTGGGATGAAGCCGTGGTATCCAAAGCAGCCAGACTTGAGGCAGAAACGAAACCCTCACCCCCAGTCTGTCGCTATTTGTCATCAGCAACGTGTGCATATTATAGCAAAAGGTGAGTAAATGGGGAGGGAGGAAAGAAATCCAACTACCCCAGTGCAATGTGGGCCATTCTGGCCGTTACCTCTGGCAGCCCGGGAAGCCTGGACGCTGTCGGAGCCGCGCTGGGAGCGACAGATCCCGCACAGACACACAGCACAGCGCACGGGAGGGAACAAGAGGGAAGGAGAGGAGGGTGGACGAGATGGAGGAATGAGATGGCTCTTCTCCTGGCAGGGCTGCCCGTAGCCGCAGGCTCTTCCAGTGCCCGACAGCCCACCGGGAGAGGGGGTGTGGGGGCTTTGGCAAGGTGGCGGTTACATAAAGAAGAAGCTACAGAAAAAGAGAAAAAACAGAAGAGAAAAGAAACAGAGGTTCAGAATTGAAATGAAGGGGTGAGAGAGGGGGGGATAAAGGAGGAACAACATTTTAAAGTAAGTCATGAAGGAGGGAGTGCGCTGGGGAGGTGCCACACACACCAACTCCACCGGGGATGCCTGAGCTCCCCAAGACACCGGCTGAGGCAGGGAACACCCACACAACACCACAAGAAGGGACTGACAAACACCGGCAAGAGCCCACAGAGGCACCTCAAAGGCACAGAACGACCTGCTGGGAAGGCAGAGGGTGACAGGTGACCCTCCTGTCACACTGTTACACAGCAAACGTCACAAAGGCCACGCAAAGACCAAAGCTTTGGGTAAAAATATATTTCCTCTCCCCACTTCAAGTGTTGGCACTATTTGGATCTGTAACCTGAAGCATATACAAGAAATAACTTGAGCTTATGCTCTAAGGTTATTATTCCATCTGTAATTCCAAAACTGAAATACTTTCACATCAAATAAAGTGACAATATCTAACAGATGCATACATATCACTTGCATTAACACTGTATGTCGGTTACACAATTATTTAGTTACAAACACGGGTTATTTTCCAATAGCAAGGTAATAAAGTCCTACATCTATGGTTTAAGGCAATCAGGATATTAAAAATGTATACAAATACAAGATTTCTACCGCTGTTCACAGCTTTATTTTCCGTGAATTAAAAAAAACCCCTTCATATTTGTACAGCTCCTTGCTGGATATCACACACTGCAAACGCAACCTGGGCCCCCGGAGAAGGGACACCCCCCCCCCCCCCTTCCAAAACCTCCAAAGGGCAAAGGGAACTGGAGCCAAATGGACAGATCTGATGTGATCACACACAAAAAGACACTTCCATCTGCACTTGGACGGTTTAGGAGAAGCAGAACAAGAGCTGCCTGGAGAAACACCGCTGGTGGTAAACACAGACAGGTTTCCAGAGAGACACTGATCTCCCTGGTGGGATTTCAGGCTGGCTGTGACAAGGAGCCCAGGGTGGGTGCCAGGCACTACTGTCCCTGCTCCCAGAGAGCCACGTGCCACAGGAGATGCAAGACAATGCATTTAATGACCACGAGCTCAAAGGGATCCTTCCCACTTAACTGCCCTCCCAGAAAGGAACTGTGCAAACCCCGGATGGTTCTGGGGGAGCAAATCCTCATCCACCTCCTCCTTTTCATCTGCCTGCCAGACCCAGGGGTGCCCAACCTGCACAGAGCAGTCACAGCCCCCCTCAGCAACCTGACTGTGTTTTTCCATCCTGGGGGTTTGTTTCATGCCCTGGGAACACCACCATCCCAGAAAAGGCACATTTCAGTGTGCTTTCCTGCTCCTTTACATGGGACTGAGGTTGGAAACGCAGTCAGGAGCACGCAGCATCATCAGCTCGTTATCATGGCTGTCTAATCATGTTCCATGCAGCAGGGCCTCCCAAGCAAGGCTTTGCCCAACCATGTGTCCAGCTTCTGGCATGCAGGGAAGCTGCCCAGGGTTGCTCTAGGCATCCAGCAGGAGCTGGATGTTGTGCTCCCTACAGCTTCTCTACAACAGCTCAGCACAAGCAGCCTGCAGACAGTTTTAGGGGGTTTTAGCCATGCCACTTGTAAGGAAGTGGACTTAATCTCTCAGAAAAGTACAACTGGTTTCCTGTCAGGAGCGAGGCAGGAAGGTGAGTCTCTTGCTGCTGTACTTACATGCAAAGGTGAAAGTACATCCAGCCAGCCCTGAGTGTATCACTCACTCCATGCACACCAGGGGCTACTGTGAAAAAAGGCATTAGAAAGAAAAGCAAGAAGTGCAGCAGTGACAAGCTAAACATGGCCCAGGGGTTTAAGGTGAAAAAAAGAAGTCATTATCATCTCCTGTGGTGAAAACCAAAACAATACCTTGGACATCTGCAAGCTTGTGGTTTATTCCCACTTTCTCCAACACAGCTTGCTTTTTGCTGGAGAAAGAAACTCAACCCAAAAGTCATTAATGCACTTGGCCACTGCTTTCTGTCAAAAAGCAAAAGCTCAACTCAGCTGATTTCCCCTGCTAAACATCCCTTGAAGGGCTGTTAAATGAAGCAGTACAAATAAATGTTAAAATTAAGTTTTCAACTTGGCACAAAACACTGGTAATTAAAAAGAGGACATGCACAGAGACAGTTGAAGTGAAGCATATTGCCACGAGCGCTCGGTGATGGGCATGTGATTGGACTGTAAAAAACTCATGCAAACAACCCAAGCTTCTTCCTTCATAACTCAAGATTTTAAAGCTGGGTTTGCCAGAAGCCACAAGAATCAGAATTTCATTTTTCCAAACAACCCTGCAGCAAACCTATTTAACATGGCAAAAAGTGCACTGTTGGCAAGACCAGAAGGTCAAAAAAATAAAACAAAAAAAAAAAAGAAAAGAAAGGGATAAAAGGGTCAACCATTTTATTTCCAGCTTACTTATCCACTTTTCTGTTTTGTCCAAGACACGGCATTTAGATATCCTCTTCCCAAAGCCATGTTTAAGCAGTGAGGGTTAAAAGCAAGACAACCCATAAGCTAACCCCCCCCCAGCACACTTCTCAACAGCAACACTTGAGGAATAAGTAACAAAAACAAGTGATAATTCTGCCCTTTTTTTTCCCCTGGAGAAATTCCATCCAGAAACAAGCAAAGAGCTGCAGTGTGTGAGACTCAGGTGGGAGGAGTTATGTGTAGGAGTGCTTTAAAGAAAGGAAAGGAGACTCCCCAGCCAGGAGCAGAGCAAGTGCTGGCTGTGCATCAGCAGGAGAGAAAGGAACCCAGGAGTCATAGGATAAGCATGGCTCGCCACTTCTGGGGAAGGAAGGGAAAGACTCTGTCCAAAAGCAATGGCATAGAAAATACACATTAAACAGATCCCCTTCCACCCTGCACTGGCCCAGAGCAAGGCCTGGCTTATCCTACATGTCCTTGGCATGTTCAAGGGACACCTGAATGGGACACTGCCCCTGGTGCAGGAGGGCTGGTGGGGAGCACAGAGTGTGTCCGGGTACCTTCTCTCCCTTGACCTGGAATTGTGGATCCCACTGCAAGTCTGTATTTAATCGTGTGCAGGAACGCTCCTGGAGGCTCTAAGAGGATGTTGAAGGCTCTATGTCCCCCCCTGCCCAAGCATTTGGTTCCACAAGGGCTGCTAACCCGTTGGAAACCAGGGAGGATTTTAAGGGAGGTTCCAAAGGTTTCAAGCAAGTACTGCAGGGACAGCGGTGCTGGGAACGCTCCTGCCCCCGGGCACCCTCAGCTGCTGCGCTCAACTGGAAGGGTGGCTGTGAAAAACAGGCCAGCACAGGACAACAAACCCGAGCCATGGTCAGGTCAGACAACAAAAACAGCAACTAAAACACATTATCATGCAAATGTCATGGCATGCAGGGTCAGTTACACTGGGTTATCTACACACACCCCCCTCCCTCTCCCCAGCAGCTACTGCTGGAACACATCAGCTACTCCAGGAATATGGGCCAGGCTAAACTCCAGGTTTAGCCACGCCATGGGCTGGCTGTGACATTCCTACAGCAGCGATTCCCTGGGGCAGGTTTCTTTGGGTCCAGGGGCTCCCTCAGCACAGGTTACTGCAGCACTGAGGACACCTGAGCCGGTCAGCCCTGCTCACCCGAGCTGCTGACACCCAGCCCTGACTCTTGGTTGAACTGGGGGCCAAAAGTGATTTACAGCTGATGGTTTTGGTGACAAAAACACATGGGTATCGTTACCTTATCCCTCCACCCGCCCCTGAACTTCCAGTTGCATACAGTCCTGTACCCATCCCTCTTCCTTCTTGTTCCCCCTATGTTATTAGATGAGTTAATAGTTATTCATGTTAAAAAATGAAAAAAGAAAACCAAAAAAGAAAAAGAAAACAGATGGCAGAGACACATTACTGCAAAAGCAGGTGAATGCAGGAACATCCTTGGCTCGACAGGCTTTATGTGAAGCTTGCACTGCAAGTTAAAAAAAGAACAAAAAACAAAAAAGTTAGCACTAATTGAACTCAAAATGAAAAAAAAAATAATAAAAGAAAGCCAGGAGAGCCAACACCAGCAACTTGCTCCGGTGGGTGGGCATGCACACGGATTATGGAATTACAAAGGAACTCAACCTCAAGGCCAGGCTCTACTCCAGCCTATGACAAGCAAACGTAGAAAGAAAAACCAAGGGGGCAGAACTACTGACCAACCAACCATGTAAGCTGGGCCAGAGCAGCCATGGTGGACTGAAAACTTACATAGAAAGGAACTTGAAAATAAAAACCCAAGTCTTACATTTGGTTTTCAGAAATAGGCTGAAATAAACCGAAACAGCCCCCAAATAGATGGTCCCAGCTCCTGGGGGCTGAGGACGAGCAGTAACACAGCGGTACATGCTGAGGCATGTGGCCATCTCCCAAACAGCAGGCAAGCACCACAAGGCTGTTGGCTGCTCTGATCTGGGCTATTGCCAGGAACTGCCTCCAGGCTGTACAGGTTTGAAGCACAGCCCCATCCCAAAATTACAGCAGGGGCTAGGTGAGTATGCTCAGCCTCACACTGAAGTGATCTCTCGAGTACACCTCTCCAGTCTCCCCTGAAGTGTCTGGGGTATGCAGATGTGCTGTCCCCAGAACAGCACACTGCTGCCATCAGGCCCGGGCCCCAACAATTCCAGATTAAGAATGAGTACAAGCTAGGGAATTCCTGGAGGAATTGCCTGGAAATCAGGAAGGCCAAGCTCTCCCTCAGGGAGTCAGGCCAGCAGCAGATTTCATCCTGAGCCTTCCCTCCAGCATGCACAGCACAGTGGAAAGTCTCTGTTCTCCAAGTTGGAGAAATCTGATCCCACCTTGAGGAAAAAAAGCACTCCTGTGATTTACTTTCTGGGGAGGCTACAAGCGTCAGGCATGGCAAGGACTTCCTCTGGCAACTGCACAAGAAGCACCACAGGCCATGTCAGCAGAGAGAGAGAGAGAGAGAGAGAGAGGGAGAGGATGGAAGCCTTTAACCACACAACCTCCAGCTGCTCATTAGAGTGCAAGGAGAAACTCAAAGCCTTTGGAAACCCAAGGTGTGCTACAGGGCAGAAGTGTCAGCACTTCCCTTGAAAGCCTCCGTTAGTAACTGCAACACTAAAGAACAATGGCAACAGGTACAGCACCTGGTGTGGAGCACAAAGGACACACTAAAACACGGGGATGTTCCTCAGGGCGGGGTGTCTGTGAATGCATCAGCAAAGTAGAACCTGCGTTGGTCACAGTTGCTGGAAACATCCCTGTCTCACCCACGACACTGTGCACGTGCCAGCCAACCTCCCAGGAGCAAAGAGCAGCTACACAAAGAGACAGAACTCCCCAGACCATCCTGCACTGCACTGGTCTCGGATCTAAGATGAAAAATCTGACTGCAGAGTTCTTAAAAACATTAAGCTACCAACTCTGTAAAGAGATAAGAAAGAGGGCCTTCAAAACTTCCTATTCTTTCTAGAGAACACATCACCATGTCTGGATTCTCAGGTGAGAGAAGACAGGGGTTTCAGCCTATCCTGCTTTACAGCCACAGCTGCAGGAGGGTGTTTCAGCACACCTGGACCCGACAGGTCCGTAAGGATTCCTAGCCAAGCAGAGCATGCAGCACACAGCACTCCTCGTATTCCAGCAGGTGCCCAGGGCCAGGCTCTCAGCCAGCATCGAGCAGCAGGGCTCCACAGGAGCTACATCAATTGACCTCAGCTGAGGAACCAGCCCCAGGCCCTCTCCACCTTCCCCAGGGCAGAAGCGACAACCGCTGGGCACGGACCCAGCAGCAGGACAGGGGACATGCAGCGAGGGTGAAGTGCCAAGCTGTACAAACACACCAGTCCAGCTGCAGGGCGAGTGCCCCTCCCGGGCTCGCGCTCTCACACAGCTCACACCAGGCTTCAGCTCCCAGCTTAGCGAGGCAGACACAGCTGCCTGTGCCACATCCCCACTGGCATTTGGTTCTTCCAGCATTAATTGGAAGGAACACCCCCCTGCTCTCTCGGCCAGTAAAAGCAGTGTGGAACTGTCATTTTTGTGTGTGGGTTAACCGAGTGTTTTCCAGGGAGATTTGCTGCACCCCCCCTCGACAGCTTTCCCAGCGGCAGGTACCAACTAGCACCGTTAGCACAGACGGCCCAGGAAGGACTTGCATGAGCACCTTCTTACTAGGAATGGGCAAAGCCAACAGAGGGTACGGGGTTACACTCCTAGGATACGGATATAAAATAGTAAAAAACAGTGCCATGATCTTTCTAAAAGGTAAGGGTTTCTTAGCTTATTATGTCAACTCCATACAACCACAAATGCCATTTAACTGCAATTACGGTACCATAATAGTTTGTTTTTTTTTTAAAAAAAATAACCAAAGCTTCTTGTCTTTAAAGCAAGCTTCCAAGTAATCACTTTTGGCACTAGCATTTCCCATGTAAAAACAACATGGTGGTTTTGGTTTCTAAGCTACTTCTACTTACAACTACAACCTTAAGGAATGGGAACTGGAGACCACCAGTGAAAGAAAGGACAGGTAGTGACTCCCTTAATAATTTTGGCTCAGGCAGATAAATCTGAGTCCAGAACATCTCACAGTTGCTCCAGAAGATGCTGGAGAGATCACAAGTCAAACCTCCACCATCCGATTGCTCTCCCACACCAGTCAGACTTCAACTTAAAATTTGAAGGTACTCTTCTGGAGAAAAATTAAGATCGTGTCCCTGGCCCACCCTTTAGAAAAAAATATTTTATTTGATCAGGCTGATAAAAGCCCTGTTTCCAGTCTGGTGATGGGAAAAAGCAAATACAGACATGCAGCAAGAAAGAAAAAAAACAACCTCCCAAAACTGTAACAAACCCTACAAAGGATGTGGGTGACATCCGCTTACTTTTTCTTGTCCTTGTCTTTCTTGGTTTGTTGGGAACCTGCCTGCTGAGCCTGTGACTGTAACAGCTGAGCTGCCGCCTTCTTCTTCTGGAAGTTGTTCAGCTCTTCCTCGAGTTCCTTCTTTTTGTCTTCCACTTTCTTCTTCTCTTCTTGGTGAGTCCTCTTTAGATGGTCAAACTTTTCGTGAAGCTGCCAGGACAGAGACAATGAGAACTGGATGGGAAGAGAGGCACGTTCCACCCCCATTCCTGGTAAGGATGCCTGCAGTGTTCCTGCTGGCACTGAGCCTCCCTGCATTAACAGCCAGTCACTGGCCTGTCCCTGCCTGACTTGTCCTGCAGTCAACACACACTTGCACACACGGAGGGTGACAATTTCTGTTGCTGTAGGAACACAACAGGTCTCTGGATGCTTCCAAACTCCCACATTCCATCCCCCACCGCTTTGTACCGACTGGACTCCATCCTGCTTGTGCCAAGCAAGAAAACAGCCATTGAGGGCCATACTTTTCTCTGTACCACATGCTCCTCTGTGAGGCACGAGGAGCAGCTCCCTCCCCTAGCAGGACATGTTCTGGAAAAGCCCCAGCCTAAACCCTCACAGAGTCCCCCGAGTTACAACAGACTCACATCTTTCTCCGCTTCCTTCAGCTCTGCTTCCTTCTCCTTCACTCGCATGACAAACATCTGCCTCATTTCATCCTCCTTCTTCTGGAGTTCGCCCAGGAATTCATTCCTCTTTGCTTCATACGTCTCTTGGAGACTGTTGGAAACACACAGAACCCCGTCAGAGCCGTGCTTCACGCACAGCCGCGAGCTCCCAGCCTTTGGTGACCTTACACTTGGGTTGTCTCCTCACAGAACATCATCAGAGGTCCCCGAGTACCACAGAGGCACGATCCCCTCCACCGAACCCCGCCCCAGCTCGCTAGGTGGCAGCAGTGGGAGACAAATGGGAAAGGAACCGCCGAGCTCCGTGACCAGGATCCTGCACATCGCTGAGCAGGCAGGATGACCGTCCTCCAAAAGCAGCAGCCACTATGTAAGCGCCTACACCAACCCCCGATGCCCACAGGGCTTGTGATCCGCCTGAGTCACAACCCCTCCCTTCTCCCACCGTTTGTGCCGAGTCTCGTCATTCCAAGTGCAGGATTTGTGGAGCAGGCACAGTGTGAAATCTGGCTTCGTGTAGTTCTTTAATCTCGACGCTGACACACAGCAAAACTCATTTTCACTACTCACTGCTAATGGATTTGGATCAGGGGCTTGATTATATAAAGTCACCTCGGGAGACCTCTCTTTCTCCTTTGGCCTTTCTGAACAAGCATCAGCCCCCTCCTCCAAATAACCACATAACTGGATTTCCTCCTTCCTTCATCCCCCCTCTACTCCTTGGCATTCCTTTATTTCCCCAGCACTGAGATAGGCAGCACAGATTTGGGACATAAAATATGCTGTCCATGCACCTCTGAGATTTTCAGAGCCTGTCAGGAACTCTGGACACCAAATTCCTCTTTATTTTATTCCTTAAATGGATTTGGATAGCCCAGTTGTAACGATAGTGTGGGAATGATAACTATTTCCCCCAAGAGGCTTTTCTGAAAATGCATTTTTTAAATGAAAACTCCACTGATAACACACAGACACACTGTATCCATGTGCCCAGGGAACACATTAACCACTGGGCCAGGGGAAAATCCTAATTCCAATGAAGTCAAGTTTCTGTCTTTCCTGGCAGTGTTGGGTTTTTTGGTGGCTTTTTGTTGCTTTTCTTTGGGGGGTGGGATATTGAACTGGGGAACAGAACTTGACAGATTATCCCAAGTGTTTAATTCTGCTAATTAACAGGCACTTCAGTTGCCTCCTAAAATACTCTCCAGACAGGATGCCCAGAGCTCTTCTGGCAGAGCACTGGCCACCCTGGAGGGATCACACCATTCCAGATGACCACAGCAGCTTCCCACACATGGAAGCAAAAATACTGATTCTAAAAATTACAAAAATCCTTTCATGGGAGAGAAGGGCAAGAGCCATCTTTGGTTCTTCACTAAATCCAGAACCAGATCTCTCACAGCAGAAGGAGATCTGGAGACTTGAATCAAAACCTCCCTAGAATTCAGTCTTGGATTTAATACTCTGACTGTGGACACAAATGTAAATTCCTAAGCCCTTCCGAAGGATCTGGCTAGAGTCTAGGAAAACCCAGAGGGCAGGTGAGCCTCTGCTGCTCAGTGAGCACAAACTGAATCTGCAATTAGTGACACGCTGTACTAGGGAGCAGCAGAGCCTTACAGACCAAACCAGAAAGCTCTGCCCACTGTTCATCCCATCCTGTATTGCAAATGTCCCTTGCAAAGCTCATTCCCAAAAACACAATGCCGGGTGATGGACAAGCAGGAAAAGGCTGCCAGGAGCCAGGGGTGCAGGGGCTTCCTGTTAAATTGTCCCAGGTTCAAAGCTTCATTCTCTGCTGCAGTGACTCCGAGTTCAGAGGAGCCAAGTTCTCAGAGAAACTGGCCGGGCAACTCCCAGGCCGCATGTGAAAAAAACAATTACAGCCCCAAGGAATAACAGTCCAAACCAACTGGGATCCCTGCAGCTTCTCACAGACAAAGATGACAAGGGAATTAGCTTTTTAAGTACACAAACATATGAGCCCAGATTACAAGAGTAACTCGATTCCCCAGCACACCCACACACACGGAGGGATGCCCTGGCAAATAATATTCTTTGAAAAAAGATGTGTTTTGAAAAGGTTAACCAGAGCAGCAGAGAAACCAGCCCACAGCAGAAGGGTCTCCGTGCAGAGAACCCCATTTCATGGAGCAGATGCCTGTGGGGCTCCTGGTGCTGCTCCCTCCTCACCTCCTGCAGCTGGGCCAAGCAGGGGGGGTTCTGCCAGCAAGGTGGGGGTCTCAACCATCACCAATCCCCCTCTTTCACACCTCACACAAGCGCCTACACAGCACCAATGGTTTGCTGGGCTCTTCTGCCCTGCTGCCCCTGAGATCTTCCAAAGGCTCCCTGCTCCTGGCTGATGCAAGTTGGCCGAGGGGCCCTGTGGCTCCCCGGGCCCCAGTGCAGGGAAAGGCATCCTTTTGATCCCTGAGCTCAGAGAGAACATCTTCCTCATATCAGACATACATCAGCCTTGGCCAAACAGCTTGGGATCGTGGGGTTTGTTTGTTTATGGGAGGGAAAAGGCACCCAGAGGGAACTGCTCTGAACTAGCACGTACCAGATGGAGAAATGCTGTACATTTTCATTTCCTTTCTACTTATAGCTTGGTCAAAAAGAGGCCTCGTGTACAGGAAGCAATGGAAATTCCTCAGATTCCTCAAAAGGAAGGGCTCAGCCCATCTTAAGCCCTTGCTCTCCAGAAAGGAAATCCAATAAAGCTTCACACTTGGGCTTAGTAACAGAACTGGGCTTGACTGATTCCAGCAGAGTATCTGTGCTGCAGAAGAAATGCAGCTGCATCAACTCAGCCTGTCAAATAAAACCCCAAACTAGTGCCAATCCCTGACACTCACGGGTGTTATGGGGGTAAAACCCCCCACTGATGCACTTGAATTCTGACTGGGGCAGAGAGAAGCATGGGATGCTGCTAAGGCAGAGGGTGCAATTATTGGGGAAAAGTTGGGGAGGAATGGGAAACAGGAAATGAGAGGAGAAAACAAACACTCCCTCCCGAATTCCCACACAGCTGTTGTCCCTGGCTGATGACTTGGGCTTCAGACCAATAAAGCTGTCTGACAGAATAAACTATGTGTGTAGTAACCAGCCAAACCTCAAGCATGAGACCATGGCTCCCTCTTCACAGCTCACCTTGGAGCAGCTGTGAAGAGCTGTCGGAGGGTCAGGGAGCGCTGACCCCAGGATCTCCCCTCCGGTGAGCCGCTACACCTCAGCGCATGAGTCACCCTCCCGCGTTTTCCCTGACACGGATGCCCCTTCCCTGCCCGGGAAGTGCCCAGCCCTGAGCTGCAGCACAGCAGGTGGCTGCAAAGCACAGCAGTGTCCTACAGGGCCCTACCTGAAGGGCTTGCTGTCCGGATCCGTGTCCTTGAATCCCATCTCCTCCAGCTTGCAGCGCCGGTACAGCTCGTAGTGCCGGGTGTGCGTCTGCTCTCTCAGGTCCTCCATGTTCACTCGGATCAGCATCTCCCGCAGCTTCACAAAGTCACAGTGATTTTCATTTTCAACTGCCAAGACAACAGAGCATCCACAGAGATGTTACACCCAGGGGCTGGGTCCCCCCTTTCCCTGCATCTGGGCCCCAGTTCAGCAAGCCCCGAGTTCTCCAGGCACACAGGCAGAACTCCAGGTCAGCCTGCACCAAAATGCCTTGATGGCCTGGGGGTGAAACTACCGCAAGCCAACAGGGGCATGAGTTCAAGGCCTTCCCCTGGATTTGAAAAATCTCCCTGCTGCCCATCTGTCACAGAGGTCCCGTCCCTCTGTGCATTTTTGCACTAGCAAGGTGATGATCCACTTGCACGCAGGATTTTACTTCCCACTCAGACCCACTCTAAATCCTAGCACTCACAGGGGTCCAAGCAGGCAATGCCTAAACTAAATCTCTTAAACCATCCAGGTTCCAGTTTCCTGGGAACAGCAAGAACCCAGCAGGATGTGTTGAGTCCAAGACTTCCCAAACATATCAACTTCTTTCCTAACTGTTTTTCCCAGTACTATCCTCTAGTGTATACAGCTGAAGACAGTAAGTCTGAAGCTGCTTCAGGGCCAGCCTGTACTATTGAGAATTTGGAGAGTATTGCAGAATTGCCCTGTGAATGTTCCCCTGCAGCTCCCTGGGCCATTATCCAGTGGGACATACAGCTGAAGCCACAAGCAGACTATCACCATCTCAATCCTGTACTTCTCAGTGCTGGTTGGGAAGTGAGGATCAGCCCTATCTATCTTTGGCAGCTTCAGTACAGCCTGGGTTGCAAACAGTGCCCTGGCCAAACTCTGCTCTCCTGCAGGAAAGAGCTTTTGGCTCCATGTCCAGATCTGGGCTGTGCTTTCTCAAGCCAGGTTCTGACAAGGACCATCCAGAGATCAGCGTGCCTTTGATCGGAACGGGACAGGACGACAAGGCCTTTTCTGTGCCTTTGGTAACATACCCTGCACGACACCCCAGGGGTACTGCCTGGCTTTGGCCATCTTGTTGCCAATCTTCACTTCTTCGGTGCTGCCAACAACAGCAAAAGGAAGGTGGACCTATGAAAGGAAAGGGACAATGAGGTTGGGGATTTCCTTCGCCGCCTTGCCAGGGATTGTTCCTCAAGAAAGCTGTTTACTGTGGCAGCTCTGCTAGATCTAAGTTGCTTCAACGCCTTTGCAATTCATCTGGTGTTTTAGGGAGAGCAACAGGACAATCTGGATGAGAAACCTGATCAGAATTAAAGCCCAAAATTCTGATGTCCTAAGAATACCAGAGACATACATATTTTCCATGTAATTACAGAGCATGACTATCTTAAGCCCAGAACAAGTCTCACAAACTGGAAGTGAATTTGAACACTGAGGAGACAGAACTGTGAAACAATAAAAAAAAGAAAACAAAGTACATTCTCCCAAGGAAAATTTCAGGGGGGTTCTGCTGCTACAAAGAACTGCTAATGCTTCCTCTTAAAAAGAGCAAAGCTGTGAGCAAGGGGAAGAGCAGAGTCAACCCAGCCCTGGGCTGACACGTCTGAGTCATGTAGCTCTGCTCCGTCCCAGTCTCCCCATGGGTGTGGTGGCGACAATCTGGGATCTACTCCCAGAAATGTGGCTGCTGCCAGCAGGGAGCTGGCCAGCCCAGGCCCATGGAGCTCTCCCTGCCTTAACAGCATCCAACAGGGCTGGGCACAAGCTCCGGGAGCTGTGTCGGCCAAGCCGTGTCACAGGCTGGGTGGGTGGGGAAGATGGCAGGGCAGAGGAGATGGGATTAACTGGCAAAGGAGCTTCCCAACAGCCAGGCTGCACCAGAGGAAAGCAAAACACTGCACATGATGCACCCTGGTAGAGCCACGACCCTTCTCTGTGCCAGCTTCTCCCTGCTCAGAACACAACACGCACAGGGAAGACAGGCAACAGGCACCTTTGGAGAAGGTCTAATATCCAGCTGGATGGGATAATTGCCCATCTACAAGCAGTTGTGCAAGGAAACTCAGAAAAGCCTTCAAGTAGTAAGGAAATGGCTTCATCTGAGTGCACTTGCCTTAGGGCTGGTACATCCTCTTGGGTGTTATGTGCCCCTCTAAAACCACCTAAAATGCCCAGATAATACTGCATGTCACTGCCAGCAACCTCAAGCTCAGGTTCTTCCCCTTGCAACCCAAGTTAGGACTATGGAAAACAGTGGTTTCACCCGTAAACTCCACTAAAATGTTTGATCTACCCTAGCCCTGCGTGCCCTCAAATCCCACCCTCCGCTAGAGGAAGGGGAAGGAGGTGAAAGCCAAGCTGCTGATGGCCACCAGCCCTATGGAGAGCTGGAACATCACCAACGGTGCCCTGCTCTCTGCGGAAACCGAAACAAAGGCAGCAGTGAATCACCCCCCACTGAGCAACAAGTGGTCGTTTGGGACAGGAAACCCAAACCTCAGCTCCCTGCCCTGACTGTGCTGGGGCCCTGCCTCCCATCCTTTTCCTTTCCTGAGATGGGAACGCTGCAACTGGGGAAGGATATGAAAAACGCTCAGAGAGGACTCATTTGTCAGACAATAAAGCGGATCAGGCCAGGTATCTTCAGCCCCAAAGCCCTTTTGGCCAGCCTGGTGTCTGTGCTTAGACTGCAGTTTTAAAGCCAAATAAAATACAGCACAACCATCAAGGATGGGCCCCCACCAAGGGGGAAGCCCCCAGGGAACCCCCAGGTGACATACGCTCATGGTGGCGTTGATCTCGGCCACCGTCTCTTCGTCCGTGGGGAACTGGTAGATCTGGACGCCGTTGCTGACCAGCTCACTCATGATCTTACTCTTGAACTTGTGCAGCTCGTTTTTTGCAATGGTGTCAGCCTTGGCAATGATGGGGATGATGTTCACCTGCAGGACACAGACAGCATCTCCACATACAGCACTGCACAGGTTGTGTCACCGGGAGAGGACAGAGCGGGACACGCAGGGACAGCGCTAACAGTGCCACCAGCCAGCACCCCCAGCAGATGACCTTTCTCGGGGCTGCTGCTGCCAGCATCACCTCAGACAGGATTTCCAGGCAGCAGTGATGATGGCCTTAAAAAGAAGTCAAATGCAATTTGGCAACATGCTATTTCCTGTCCTGTCGTATTCCCCTCCTCGCCCGAATTGGCTGGACAGGAAATGCTGTCACAGATTATCACAAACTGTTCCAAAAAAGAAAAAAAAGGAAATGACCATCTAGGCACATCTCCTCGCACTGCAGCAGGCTGGATTACTGCAGGAGCCTCCCTGGGACAAGAGCCTGTCACAGGTGTTTGCTCGGGGGCTGCCATCAGGGACACTCGGGTGGCAGCAGTGCTGCTGTCACCCCACGGGAGGTGGAAGCAGATGGTCCCTATCCAACCTTGTGACACACAGGACAGGGGCTGGCAGTAGCACAGCCACACTTCCCCCACCTGTGTGCCCTCACATGCCCCCAGACACGGCTGTACTGCAGTAGCAGGGCTCATTCCTCCCTGCACAGCTCCGAGATGAAAGATCAGTTACTGAAACTCTTCCCTAGACAGGCTGTTGGCAAGGATAAGGACCCTGCCTTTTTTCCTTTCTCGTCCCTCCAGAGGGACAGTTTCTGCTTTTGATCATGCAGGATTTGCTTCTCCATGCAACAGCAGACAGAAATCATAGTGAGAATAACAGTGGTATTGACTTATATAAAGGGATTTTAAGTACAGCACTTGAAAATCCTCTTCTATTACATCACTTGATTCTGTTTGGAGGATGGTCTGGAGATATTAAATCTCCCTGGGCCAAAAGACAGAACACAAATGCCAATTAGGGTAAATCTCCATAACCCTATTTTCAGTTGAATAGGGCAGGGAACCTTCTCCATCGCCACATAAAACCCAATCGATAGGCCCCTCCAGGAAATAAAGAGCCACTGCCACCAGTGATCTGCAGAATCAGGATCCAACGAGCCAAAGGTGCACGGTGGACAGATTTAAATTGCTTAATCATGATGTAAAGAAGCACAGACAAAGCTTAGTTTAAGTACTCAGGCTTTACATTTGTACCTCAGTTATTTTTCTCAGAAAAGAGGTGAAACCTTTAAACCGTGGTTTAAACCAAGCCTTTGAGGGTAACTGAGAAGCAGATGCCAAGTAACATATTTATTCAGATCCCTGTTTATGAAATTACAGTTAGAACACCACTAACATGTGCCACAGAAGATCAAATCACTGTTTGTGTCTATCTGGATGTGGTCAGAGCAAACAGACACAGCACTTCCATTTGGTTTTCACTGATTAGTAAGACGACCTGAATTGTCTTTATTGACTTTATAGCTTAGCTGGGGAGCACAGGGCCAAGCTCCCTACCCGAGGCAGGGCTGGGAGAGGGGAGGAGTCCAAACTCTTAATAAATCTCTGAGCATGTGAAGCAGAACAATGACCCACTGTAGCAGCTTGCACCAGGTACACTTTTCACACAGCCCCTCTGCAATTCTCCAGTGCTAAAAACACACATTATTTCCTGGTGGCAAGACAATAAAAGCACTAGTAGGGCCATGTGAGGGTCGTAACACAGGCAGCAAGTACCTTACTGTCCAGTTTCTTCATGGTGACCAGGTCCAGGGACTTGAGCGAGTGCCCGGTGGGCGCAATGAAGTAGAGGCAGGCGTGGATCCGGGTGTCGTGGTAGTTGAACAGGGACCGTTTGATCTTCAGCTCTTCTTGTAAGTAGGCTTCAAACTGTGCATCGATGTATTCTACTATGGGCTTGTAGCTGGAGGGAGGTGAGGCACAGAGAAATTGGGAATTGGCTACTGGGACAACACTGGGCACTGGTGGACACTCAGGCAGCCTCATGGGTGCTCTGGACCTTACGGGACAAGCTCGGCTTGTTAAGACCCTCCCCAGCAACCTCCAGTCCCTCCTAACAAGTTGTGTTTCCACGAGTGCACAGGCAAAGCATAATGGACATGACAGCAAGATAATGTGGTAGAGACCCTGGATTTTAGGTGCATGGAAACCACACAAGATTGCTACCCTGAAAAACAAAGTATTTGTACATCTCCAATTGAAGTCTGAGCTCTGTCAATCTCACTGAAAAATCTTAAAAGAGGGAAGGGAGATTGACAAGAGGATAAAAAGGGCTTTTCCGGAATTGAAGCCTGTGAGCAAAGCTCAGAAGACAACTGGGCTCGTGGACTTTGAGGGGACCATTTTGCTGAAGAGAAAAAACCTTGTGCATTGTAACGTACCCTCTGGAAAGAACCAGTTTGGCATGAAAACAAATGTACAGCTTTGCATCCCACGCTACAGGTGATTTTCACTTTCTCCCCAAAAAGGGAGCTGTGCTTCTGGAAAAAAATAACTTTTCCATTTGTCCCCCCTCCACCAAGGGCAGCCTCATGGATACCACTATGTGGGTTTATAACACGACTGCTGCTCTGATTTCTTGGCTTCTGGAAATTTTGTCTCTGACCATGGAAGCCCAAAAACCTCAGAGACATGTTGCAAAGAAAGCAGTAGGGCCTTATGCTGGGAGAAATATTACAGAGTAGCATCACTTCCTGGATCAGGAAACACCCCCAGGAACAGCGAGGGACCTACTGAGCCCCCAGTCACGCCCTCCCGACCTGCGAGCACACCCAGGTCCTGCCAGAGCCCAGTTTACCTGTCATCCTTGTTAATCTGATCTCCAAAGCCCACGGTGTCCACAATGGTCAGCTTCAGGCGCACGTTGCTCTCCTGCAGCTCGTAACTCCGGGCTTTCAACCTCACGCCGGGCTCGTTGTGTGTCGCCGGTTCGCTCTCAAACTTGGTGTTGAACAGAGTGTCCATCAACGTGGACTTGCCGATGCCGGTTTCACCTGAGCAGACAAAGGCAACTTGGGATGGTCTGGCTGCTTTTCCTCATCTTCTGGGGCACGTTCGCCAGGTTAAGGAGTTATTCCACTTGGGAAGCAGTGGAATTAGGCTACATGCACATGGCTAAGCAAGATAATCCCTGCAGGAACAGATGTCTTTGGAGACAGTCCCCGTCTTTACCAATTCCCCAGGGCTGAACCAGGAACTTTCCTCACAGAAGCAAGTTGTAAATTCTCTTAACACTGTGTTTGATTCCCAAGGAGATACTCGATTTTATTTTGGTTTATTTTTTTAAAACGGTTTTGTTTCTGTTTCAAGAAGGTCACCCAAAACCCACAGCACAACTGAGGCAATAAAAATTTGAGACAGAGAAATACATAAGGTGTTTTTTAAAGAAAAGGAAAATAGCACACTGATCAAATACCAACTTTTTAAACTATTACAGGTTCACTAATCCCCAGTGCAATTAGTAATATGGATGAAAGCATTAGCCCAAATCCCATTTCTAAGTCAGAAGTGTTTGTTTAGCAATTATACTCTCACACAGCTACTGCTACCCATGCTGTGAGCAGGGGTGGGCTGAGGCAGCTCACGTGAAAAGCTGAGTCCTGAACTGATGGCACGGTATCTTCATCTCTGGAGCTGAAGATTTTAGGGAGCTCCTCGTGTGAACTGCTGCGTGCTGTGCTAGATGGCCTTTGCAGCCTTTCACATCTCAAATAAAAGTCTCACATTACAAGGCCAAAGTTCATCATGTCCTTTCTCAAGTCACCATTACAAAAAATAATTTGCTTCCAAAGTAAGATTTCTGCTCCTTGGACGACTACAGTGGTTTGTGTGAAATTTTAATATGGGGTGAAAATTGGTGGATCGACACATTTTACAGGAAAAAAAGAAGAGATGGATCAAATTGCTAATGGAGACATATTAAGTCATGTTAAGAAAGGAATATTTACTCCAAGAGAGAAAGGCAATTAATTTATGCCATTTTGATCAAAGAGCTGCCTGCTAATCGGGCTGTTCCCTGCTGAACTGCAATGGATTCATGCTGCTCCAGCAGTCACGTGAGGGCTGCGAGCTCGAGTGTGCACAAGTGCAACTGCTCTCCTATCTCCTCCTTTGACAGGCAAAGCTACAGAGAGGAGCGCAGTCTGTGTGCCAGACTTCTATTCACACAGCTCACAGAAACCCTCAATTCACTGTGCAAAATTCACAGTCAGAGGGCTGCAGGGTTTTTCCAGCTAATTAATGTAACTAATTAGAAGGGACAATACTCCCTTCTTGCAGGCTTAACTGAACAATGAACGGAGAGATGGTGTTCATAGCCTGCCCTGCCAAGCTAAGAGTGAAACCCAGCATTTGTGTCACTTGGCAGAATCACATTCTGGGTCCACTGACAAGTCCAAGCTAGTTCAGCTCCCAGCTCCCAGGGGCTGAGCAATGGATTTCCAAGTGTGTAGTATCCATGGAGTACCAAGACAGCACCTATCTCCCTATAGCAAAGAGGAGATGTTGCCTTCCTGTATTTCACCCTCTGAACAATTTGGAAAAGGTAACTCAGGCTATAAAACCAACCTGCAGCACCCAGGTTAAATACAGCAGAGGACAGGTGACAGGCTTTGTTCTCCAGTACATCACTTGGAGACCAAAAAGGGCATCGATTCCAATTGGAGAAACTAAGAATGTAACTATACAGGCAAAGCCTGGAAGGGAAGGAATGTCATTTGGTGAGAAACAGCCTCTGCACCCAACCCAGAGAAAGGGAGATTGAAGTTCACTTTCTTTTAAAAATACATTTAGCACCCAAGTTAGCTCAGTTTCCTTATGGGCAGCCTTTGGGGAAAACAGAACCACAGGATGATCAAAGGCGAAGATTTTAACAGCTAAAAATGTCCTCGTTTTGACTCAGGGGACAAGGTAGAGAAAAGGAAAAGAGGGATGCTAGATTTCACCCTGGAGCAGCTCTGGGAAGAAAACTGTCACTTCCCTGGCACTGTGGTCCCCCATGGCTCAGCTCATCCCTTTGCAGAGGGAGGAGGTGTGAGTCTGTGGAGGGGTGCAGCCCTGACTGCCCAGAGGGGCAGGGTGACCTACCCACGCAGAGGATGTTGAAGCAGAAGCCCTGGGACGTTGACTTGTTGACCAGTTGATCAGGAAGGCTGTCGAAGCCCACGTGGCCGGAGAGGGACAGGTTCCTGAGGTCATCGTTCTGTAAGACCAAGAAGGAAAGCATTTAACAGGGTTGCAAACCCCCTGTCAGGGAAGAAGTCCTGTCAGAACTCTGTTAATGACACAGAGTTTTTGGGACACAGCATCTTTCTCTTAGGTTTCCCTCCCAAAGTACTCTCCTTTTACTTCTACCCCGCTCTCTGCCGTGGGGCTCAGGAGCTCAGGTGTCCCTGACCCCAAGGCACACAAACACCACCAGACTGTTTCTCCGTGCCTGTCACTAATAAACCATGATTCTGTACCAATCTGCAACACCCAAACATTTTTTTCTGAGGCCTCAGCATCCCTTTGGCAGGGCCACAGCAGGACATAGCTCAGATAGCAACAGTGCCTCTAGAGTCACCTAAATGTCTCTCCAGCTTTTCTAGGCTTGGAGCAGAAGGGAACAAAGCGAGTGTGCTGCTCTGCTGTGCCTTGGTGTACAAATAACCCATCTGACCCAGGGTGACAAAGCAGGGCACTGATCCCAGTGTTTCCTCCATGACCTACAAAGCCCCCAGTGCTGCCTCTCCATGTCTTCAGCAGGAAAAGAAGCCAGACCAGAGAGCCCCAAGGTGCCAGTCACCCCTCGTGACCCGCTCTCCTCCTCCCGGCTGCTCGGGGGGCCTGAGCTGACAACATCCAACACCCCAAGGCTGTGGAGGGGAACAGGGCAGCACAGACCCTGCACAAGGGAGGTTTGAAACAGCTCCAAGATTATATTTAGGACTTCTCCACAACAGCTGTACCATAATTCACAGAGAAGCTTGGAAAAAGAAGCCAGCCCAGTCACCTCTTCCCTGGCAAATGGCAGTTGTGCCAATGTCCTGGGCACAGGTAAAACAAAAAAATCCCCATCAACTTGGCAGACCTAGAGCAGCTCTGCTGTTATTTCACATATTTCTCCCAAAGTTTGCTTTGTCCTTAACTTAGAAAATACTAACCTTCCTCCAAACCCAAACACTTCCAGCACAGTCACTCCCTCAAGGCCATATTAAATTACAATTGTGGGCAGCCTCAGCCTGGTTTAAAGATGCTCGAAGCAGCAGCTTCTTTTCCACAAAATCAGTGGGTTTTGGACCAGACATGGAAAAAGACACTCTTTGGGTGATAAAATAAGAATCAAAAGCAGAGAAGGACTTCCTACGCTCTGCACAATTGCTGAGCAGCTCCACTTCCCCCCTCAGAACATAAAGACCAGCCACCAATTGCAGGAAAAAACCAATTACATCTGGGCTGAATGTTGATGAAAACAGACTCAGACTCAAAGAAATACAATAATTCTCTGGGAAAGACAACATCAAGTGAAAATGTCTCTGTTTGTGCCATCACCATATGGCAGAAAGGGGCTAGGGGTCCTTTTCTGCCACGCTGACAGACAGGGCCCAACACCTGTATTAGATACTTGAGCCTTCTCCTAGCACCTAAACCAGGTTTGTCTGAAGGCTTAACCCCAATCCACCAGCCTGTTCACCTCCACCCCTCTGTGGACTGACAGCTATTCCATCAGCACCACACCACAGAAGCTTAGTGTGATTGAGAGACGCCACCTCCTTCACTCAGGCTGAGTGACAAACAACACAGAAGAGACCACTGACCCACAACAGCGATTCTCCTGCAAAAGCCCCAGGCAATGGAAGGAGACCCTGGCATTTATATGTTATGTGAATGGGTTAAATTAAATATTTTTAACATTAGTATTTTTAAAACATCAGTGGGCTTGGGTTCATGATGAAGTGAAGGGAGCTCAAAGCTGATCCCAGAAAGCAGTAAGTGCCCATGACTCACAGGCTTCACAGAAAGTGGTGGGTGTTGAACATCTTTCAGCACCAGTCTCTCTTTCCCTGATATATTTTGGGCAAGCAAGTACTGCCTTATCACCAGTTACTCAGCAGGAACAGGAGTTACACTCATCTCCTGCATCTGTGTCAGTTATTTTTTGCTGCAGACCTTCTCGGGTTTATTTCCCTCCCCTGCTTTTTTCCCTGCGAGCGGCAAACATCAACAGTGCAATAAACAAGAACTACCCCTGCACTTTGCAATGCCAAGTATTTTTCACAAGCTGCGCTCACAACGGGGAGCAGAAGCGCAGTCTGATATCTGCCCCAAACACCAGAAAGCTCATGAAAAGCTCCGAGGCCCGAGGCACAGCCAGAGATCAAAGACAAAGCCAAGCCTCCACCTCCCTCAGCGTTCCCAGGATGCAGCACATCTCCCTGAGCGGAGCAGACAGAGAAAATAGGTGCAGTTCTGCACAAGTATCACAGACAGGCATTTCAGAGAAGGCAGGAGAGCCAAAGGAACTAGGATTCTAAATCTTTCTCTGCGCCCACAAACAAAAGCATCGTGTAACCAAACAGTGAGTTCTGCAGCACAGAGATGGGCTTGGAAAGTACACACAGTTTTTGGGGAGCTGTAGAGGAATCCAAAGGAAGGATCCAAGGGCTGCATAATCTCTTACCATTGCAGCCAGGCCTCCGCTCCTGCTTTTACCCCCTTCAAGGGGAGAGCTCTATCCACATGGAAAGGAAGCCTCTGCTGGAGAGCAACCAGCCTGATTGCTCAGGGTATCTTCAGCAGAACAGGCAAGTGATTCACGCATTCGGTCTGGCAGAACAGAAGTGTTTTAACAACAAGGGGATGCTAAGTCAGATGGCCCCGCTGCTCCGGCTGTGAATCGCCCCAACAAGCTCCTGAGCACAGTCAGTGGGCTGGGTTTGATCCAAACTGAGTCATCCCACCGAGAACTGGGCAACTCCAGCTGAAGAGGAGGTGCAGGCTCCTGCCCCAGGGACAACCCCAGAGCCCCTGTGTGCACCAACAACTACGCATTGATTTATTCCTCTCGCCAGACAGCTCTCCTTCCAGAGGAAGTCAGCAGTGCTGCTCAGGCACTTTACCCCACGTGCAAAGGCACATCATCACCCTGCCTCACTGCCTTCTTCTCAAGTGCATTCCTCATTTTCCCACAGCGGATGAACAGAGCTCAGCACAGCTCCTCTTCCCCCAACACTGCACCTAAACACACACCTGAACTAAAACACCCCCTCAGCTGTCCCTCACAGAAACTCAGTCCTTGGAGATGCCTCAGAACCAGAGACAAGTTGCTGTGTCTGGAAGCACTGACCTCTTACAGGCACACTAAAAGAGTAACTGTTTGCCAAGCACCTCTCTTTGCTCCCAGCTTCAGGAACCATGGACAAGATCAGCGTGGGTAAAACTGCAGCTCCACAGACTCCTGGAGGGATCAGACAGTTTGCACCAGACACGCTGCTAGATTTGGGTGTCTGCATGTTCTCAGATGTCAGAGAGCTTAAGACATCCCAAAAACAGTCTTTATTTTTAAAGTCTTCCTTATGACACCCATGTCGCCTTTACTGAAGACCACATTATAGGGCATATATTCCCTCCCTCTTCCTACACCATCCAGGAGCAGGAAGCAATTCTGAACCTCCAGAGCTGTGTGCTAACCCCTACAAAAACTGCAGAGCTACATGAACAAATAAATGCTTGTTTCTTGAGAAAGATGCTGATCACTTGACTTCTCCTTCCAGAGAGCCCTACAAGGCATCCCACAGTCGATATTTCTTGGGTCAACAACAATCTTTGAGCTGCTGTTATCACAGCTGCTGGTTTTAACTCCAGTAGAGGAAGGGAGGGGGTAAGCTAAGCAGAGACAAGGCACAGCATCTGCCTACCTACCATCACTATAAAGAGATTTATCTTCAGGAACCCATGTTCTAGTGCTCTTAATTTTAAGGGGGTAAAAAACTGCCATGCAAAAGACAAAAAGGGGTTTGCAACCTCAGAACCCTGTCAAGGTTATTTTGCATCTGTTGTTCCTCATACACAGCTCCTGGTGGCAAAAGTTTTGTAGGTGAAGCAATGGTGCAGGGGATGCTCTGTGGCAAACAGTGGAACTCACTGAAGCCACATAAAACAATTCAGTTGATAAGGCACGTGCAAGGACAGAGTCAGCTCATTCCTCCTAAACCACAGCAGCTTGGCAGAGAGAGCAGGGATAAAGGGGAAGTTACTCTCCTGGTCAGTCAGGAACAGTGCACGGTCTGTGTGCGCACGGGGATGGGGAGATAAAGGTGGGCCCTGTGCTGGGACATGCATCCCTCCTCCAGAGGCAGCACGGAGCAGAGCAGTGTCCATGCAAGTCACAAGCTGTGTGGTAGCTCATCGGAGATAACGCAAAAATTGCTCTTCTCTTGGGTAGGAAAAAAGCACCGCTCCCAAAAGGCTGATGTGGGGAGATCCCCAAGGACATGTGCAGTTACTGCCCTGGTCTCGGGTCTGCTCTCCTCGCTCAGGACTTAACCATGGTGAGGACTGTTCCCCCAGCCCCAGCAAGCTCCTGGCTGAGCCTCTTTTGCCTTAAGGCTGCTGGCAAACCCTTCCCTCGGCCCCTCCTGGCCCAGGGCTGCTGGCGGCTGGGGGTCAGCTTCACACGGCCTCCCAAGAGTTAAAGAAAACAAAAACGAGCCTCGAATTCGAGAGGGGGAAAACGCTGGTATGCAAAATATTGAGCTCAACCACAAATATGAAGCAAGTGTTTAGTTATTTGAGGCCACACGACTCGGGAGGCACCTTTAAGAAATTCTAAAAGCTCTTATTGTTGTCAGCAGCTCAGGGCAGTAACATTTTTGACCAGTTACTAGGCACACGTTCTTGCATTTCTGAAGTCATCTCAGATGCTACATCCAAAGCCAGGGACCTCTGGGACAGTTTTGTCTGCTCAGACAAAAACACAGCTCAGGGACGAGCAGAGATCACAGAAGCAAAGAGCAGTCAGCAAGAGACAGATCTATCATACCCTCTCCATGCCAGCAGGGCACCAAGTATTCCCAGTGTCTGTGCCAGAGTCAAGCTCTCTGTTCCTTGAAACAGCATCCACCATCCCCCTCCCCTTCCTTACAGAGGCTTAAGGCATGGTCAAACCCATAACTGCTGGACAAGGGAACTTATGAACAATGGTACAGGGAGAACACGAAG